AAGAGTCCGAACCTTACCTCTTAAAAACGCAAACTTTTCTCAACTTTTTGGGGGTCACATGGGCTATATGTCTGTGAAAGATTAACTTCCCCAGGGCTTGGAGTTTTAAGGGGTAAGTTCCTGGTTGACCTGCTTGGTCGCCAGCCGTTTTGTTTGGGTTCAGGATTTTCGTGGGTCAAGCGGGTGAAAGCTCGAATTTTAGCCGCGGGTTAGTCGCTTGTAGCAGGGGATGAGTTTGGACAGCCTAGTGTTTCATAATCTACCAGGGCCATCTAGAATCCCAGGACACCTATGCATGGGGGTGTCTTTTGGAGGGTGCCCCAGTTGGGTTGGTTTTAATACGAAACCAAATGGAAACCAGCTCTCAAGATGGAGACCGCCCCCAAAATTGGTTGGCTTCCATTTTGTTTCGTTTAGATAATCAAAAGGGCGCTCCGGTTTTCCATGTTGAGAAATTGGGTATGTATGTGTCGAAATCAGGCAGCACAACAACAACTGGCGGTTTTCATGTTGCTTACCTCTTTAAAAAAAAACAGCAACTTTTCAACTTTTTGGGTAACATGGGCTATATGTCTGTAAAAGGTTAACTTCCCCAATCCTTGGAGTTTTAAGGGGTAAGGTTGGTTTCCTTTTCGACCTGTAGAAGGGTACCCTCGTCAAGCACACAACGCCAACTTGTCTGAACATGTTGGACGGACTTTCGGAACTGCATCCCTCAGATTCCGTAAGCCCGGAGGAGATGTGTCACGAAGGGGGGAGCTTCTGCACGTGGGTTTTGGTTTGTGAGCAGTCAAGGTTAGAGCACAGCTCAGGCACCCAGTTAATCTTGACCTCCAAAAGTGATGAGTCCCCAGTGAAAGGGGGCACCCCCCCAATGAAACGCTCCGAAGATGCTGATGAGGGAGGTTGCTTCTTGAGCCTGGTTGCTCTTGCTCATTTGGCTGTGGTTGTCAAAACCGTTTTGGGATCCCATTTTGCTTGGTAGGTGAATTCACCACCCATTTTAGAACCTAGTTTAGTGGTTGGATTGGGATGTTCACTGGGGGTACGAGTTGGATTTGACCCATGGCCATTTTGCACGCCTTGTGCCCGACACCAGCAGGCATGTTTGAGGAGTTGCCCGGAGCGGCATCGAGCCGGCAGACGTTTGCGTTGGAGAAGGTGGGATACAACTGAAGCAATACAAGGGGCAAATACTTACTAATCTAAGGGTTGATTCCGTTTCCATTCTTTCCAATCATCGTTCTTTTCAGAAAGAAGGATCCCTGGAAAGAATGGGGAAGGTAGCACTAGAACGAATAGTGTACCCCTGCTTTCGCGAAATATAGTTTTGAAGTACCCCACAGCACTTACAAGAGGTGCCATGGTCAACAAGACACCTTTAAACTTTAAACTCGATTCCTATTGAGGGAGCCATGACCATAGGCGAAGGAAACCCTGGCTGCCTCTATGCTCGCAGCCAGCACCTTGCTCCCCGTACCTCGCGGCTAGCATTTCGGACCAGATGACAAGCTCCCCACGAATTCAGAAATCAACTTCAAGGCTCAGCATCACGCTGGGTTTATCTGTTTTCGTAGAACCCCGTTTTGGCTTGGTTTTAAGGGCTAGGTCCCCCCAGTAGTGCCCGTTTACCCTTTTTTGGGGGAGGGTTCCCCTACTAAAATAGACTACAGAAAACAAGGGTACCGTTATTCTAACCTCTCTACTGCGTGTACTGGAGGACCTAGTTAGGACCTAGTTGTTTGTAAGGGGAAACCACCAGGATAGTCACCATTTTGGGGATTCCTCAAAAAAGACCACCCAGCTGCCCGCGGAAAAAAAAACAGCACGGACACTTTCCGTGAGTTTTCAGCATTGGGTTTGGTCCATGGCAGCTGGTTTCCACAAGCCACACGGCCGCCTTGACCCTTCCATCCTGTGAAGTTTTAGACCTCAGGGCCAATTCAAGGCGAGTCTCCTTGTGTGACGTTTTCACACTGACAAATCCGCAGAACCCAATTTTCTTCCCCAGAAAAGAAGAAGAGCCAAACCAAATTGCCCCGGGTTCCTCGTCTAAGTTGAGCCGCCGATTTTTTTTTGCGACCGAGGTGGAGAGGCGCAGCCGCGTCATCGAAGCCTCGGCAGAGCGGGACCTGGACATTTGGAAGAGCGCCGCGGCAGCTTTGGACCCCGAGACGAGCGCACGGCGGTGACGGGTCCGGGGTGGGCGCCAAAAATACGGGGTCGAACAAAAGGCGGTGTCAAGAAGACGAAGAAGAAGATGATGATGAAGACGAAGAAGAAGAAGCAGAAGAAAAAGAAGAAGAAGAAGAAGAAGAAGAAGAAGAAGAAGAAGAAGAAGAAGAAGAAGAAGAAGAATCTGATGATGAACAAGAAGAAGAAGAAGAAAAAGAAGAAGAAGAAGAAGAAGAAGAAGAAGAAGAAGAAGAAGAAGAAGAAGAAGAATAATTACAAATTGAAGCAAGCGGTTTTGCCCCAAACAGCCCTGGCCACGCCCCAAACAGCCAAAGAGGGTCCCGCGGGAATGTTTTTTGTTTTTTTTCTCCCCCAGGGTTGTTTCAAATGTACTCGCACACATTTTTGTTGCCGGTCCTCACAGCCCAAGGGCAGCGGATGTGCTTGGAAACCCCGCAGGGAGCAAGTCCTGGCATTTCCACACGGCACTTGGAGCTGGCATTTTGGACCAGAAAGCAGTGGGAGGATGCAGTGAGCAATGCACTTGGCGTGCGTTTGTCCTCCGCCTCCCACTTTGTCAGGAACAGCCAAAGGCGAGCAGGAAAGCATGGAGCCTGCAGAAATCACAGACATCAAGCAGAAAGGGTACAACTAGGAAGTCTGGGAATAACAGTATCAAGTTGTTCCGAACGCAGGGAGTGACATGAACTTTGGCAGAGCGTTCTCATGTTAATGGGCGGGAGGGTACCTTTTGTGGATGTTAAGTGCCATGATTCTATGTAATGGCCAATGCAATGCCAGCTTGCTTGAATGACGAGCTAGTGCTGCTAGTGCCGCGCCTCCCGGTAGTGAGAATGACCGCTTTTTTTGTACATGGAACCATGAATAGGTTCTGTGACACTGTTTCGTTTGGAACATGAACACGCAAAAGGGGCTCATGGGTAACTTCCTGCACCTCACGATGCATCAGGGAATTCTTTGGGAAACGCTCTAGAGGATGTTCGTTAGGTTCCTCCGTATTCTTCCGAGTCCGGAAAATCCCAAGTGGACACCCCCCATACCCCCACCCACCCACCCCCACCCAGCTGACCACTCCCATAAAGTGGTGTGGTTTCCCTTTCAAACCACCCCGAAGAAGGGAATCCCAAACCAGCCTCGGCCATGCATGACCCATCGTACCCAGCCCATCCACGTCCCTCTCCATCCCAGGGAGCAGCAGTCTGAGGAGAGGAGGCCACGTAGGAGGAGACGGGGATGCAGCTGGCTTTGGCCAAAGGGTTCCCATTCCTAGCTGAGGCACGGAGCGCTGCGCCTTCTGGCGCTGCTGCGTGGCGGAGACCCACAGCTTCCAGCGAGCCTCACAGGACTTGGCCGAGTATCTGGTCGCCCGGGCCAGGCAGAAAGTGGGGTGTGGGGTGGGGGTGGGGGGTGGGGGGTGGGGAGGTGGGGGTGGGGGTGGGGAGGTGGGGGATGGGTCCGGCGGGTGTGGGGTGGGTGTGGGGTGGAGTGGGGAGGTGGGGGTGGGGGGTGGGGGTTGTCCGGCGTGGGGCAGTGTTGTTTGTTTAACGTACCGAGTGCTAGTTACAGCCTAGACCTGCATGAGGCTGGCTCTTGGGGTGAAAAGTAGCTTGCAGACAGTTCCCCTTTTTTTCCGATGTCTCCAAGCCACACGAGGGAAGCTCGCTCGGCAGGTGGATCGACGCCAATGTGGATCTGCTCGACGCCTGATCTCCGCGGCGCAGAACGGACGGGAGCGAGCGACCGGAAGTGGCCAAGCGCTTGGTCAAGCTGTTCATCTCATATCTTGTGGCGCAGGGTTGTTTCCGCCGTCTTCTGAAAGCCAGCATGCATTCCGAGTGGATATATATATATATATATATACATATATTATATGTATATATATATATATATATATTAATCTGTATACCTGTATTGTATATGTACATGTATATAACCAAGCATGTGTGTTTTTGCAGATCTGACTTGTGTAGGTAATGTATTTGGTTACTCTGTTCGTTTCGGTAAGACGGAGGGCAGCCGTTGATTGGTCCTCCGGCCACAGCGCAAGGTAAGCTAAAGGCACTTGGACCCCAAATCCCTGTGGCGCCAGTGTATCTCTTTGAGGGCCCCAGCGCCCCAGATCAAGTCAACACAATGGGCAAGTAGGCAAACCATCCTTTGTTCCTCCATCAGGATTGGCCTTGTGACCAGTGAGCTTGCTTTTGGGAGAAAGGGGCCAGCAACAATTTGGGAAAACGTGGGGTGTGTGCTTTTTTTTTCGTGCCCATTGTCCAAGAACCACGGAAGTGGACCAGCCGGCCTTATTAAACCCCTCCACCTAGAAGTAATCCCCAAGAGGGTTCCCCAAGAGGGTGACCCCCAAGAGGGTGATCCCCAAGAGGGCATTCCCAAGAGGGGTAAATCCCACGAATTCTTGGACGGGGGGTTGTGAGCAACCCCCTCCGGGCGATGCGCGGATCGGTCAATGCATTCGGTGGAAAAAGGCGGCCGTGCCGCAAGACTGTTTTCCTCTTTGGTGCATGCATGTTGCGGAAGCCAGGCCACGGACCCAACCTTTCAGAATCCTCCAAGCCCTTGAAAAGTAGGATCCCCTTTTCTCTAGGGGTACCTTCCCCATTCTTTCCAGGGATCCTTCTTTCCAGAACACCTCCAGCATCCCAGGGAGCACCGCTGGTTTTTGACAAGAACGATGGTTGAAAAGAATTGTTGGAATCAAGCCCCACAATTTTTTCGACCCACTGGCCAAAGCAGATAATCGACCCCAGAAATTCGGCCTTGAACCTCGGCAGCTCCCTCCGCTTGAGGTGGGCGCCATGCCGGGCAAGCTGATCCAGCTGCGCACCCAGAGGGACCAGGTTTCCGTGTTTTTAATGGCTGTGACGTGAAAATTGAACCCCCGATTGGGACCGCAGGTTTCGTCCTTGGGTCAAAATTTACCAGGGCTCCCATTTTGGGTACATATTTTTGACCCACTGCCACATCATAAAAAAGAAAAGAACAACAGTTTGCTTATTGTTCGCACATAGATCAAGTGGTGTTGGTTTATCCATAGGATATGCTGCATATCATGATCAGCCCTTTAGCTCTGACTCTAAGTTGACCCTGATCACCTAGAGAAGAGGGAGGCTCGTGCTCCTCCGGTGGTGGTTCGCATTTCGGTGTGTCTGTTTTAAGGCGAAGCCCGTGGGGGCTTCAAATCCAATTTTGATGAAGCAGAACCATATGGAGGTTTCTTAAGATAGTACTCCCTTTTGCCAAGCTAGCTGCCAAGCAGGCGTCCTGTGTCACACAACAAACCGAGAGCCTTTGCTCCTGTCAAGCCGCACTCTCGCAGCCGGCCCCTTTAAAAATTTCGGCGCCGCCCGAATTTTGGGGCCGTCTCCGCTTCGCGCCTCGCGCTTCGCCCGGGTCCGAGGGATCGGCGATCCAGGTGCTTGAAGTCCACGGGCTGTGGCAACCCCGTGGTCCTCATCGACGAGATCGACAAGCTGGGCCGGCGGCCCAGAGAAAAGCGCGTTGGAAGCGCTTCGGTGAGACGAGAAGAACCTGGTTGTTGTGTTTTTCTTTTTGGGGGGGGTGTTGGGAAACATTGGACACATTTTTGCGCTTGTTGGGAACCAATAGGAAGCCGTAGCCTGTTTGGGGGTCAAAGCGATCTTTTGGAAAGAAATCAAACGTGATCGACCTTTTGTGGGGGGAAGCGCAAACCCAGAGAAGTTTTGCATCCGGCCACACCCCGAACGACTGTTGTCTGCATTCTTACAATGATTCGGTTTGTGGGTTCTCAACTTTCGTTGCGGCTGGTTGTGACCGAAGCGATCTGTTGCATGCGGTTCTCAACTTTCGTTGCTCATGGGGTGGTTGGGGTTTGGATTTGTTGCGGTTCTCCGGGCTCCTTTTGCCACAAGTTCCACCCAGCCTGTCCAAAAAACGGCGGCCGGTTTGTTGGGCATCCGTTTCTGGGCTGAACCTCGTTGTGGGCGGGTCAAAATTCAACCACCAGGAAAGGGACCCCATGTTTTAGTCCTTGGTTGCATTTACAACAAGATGGGTACCTGTTTTTGATCCACAGCTAGGTCTATGTCAGATCTCCCTGGAGAATTGCCATCCTTGAGCTTGGCTTTGGGAGGTCATTGCAATGCCACGGGGCAGCTGGGATGGTGCAATCGCATTGACTTCGCATCCACCTTGGCCATGGTGAAAAGACCGGTTCCTTTGCTTGAACGTTGGGATGGTCATCTACGCTGGCCCCTGGGACATTTTTTATTTTTTGTTCTTTGTTCCAGTGGTTTAGGGTGTTGCGCCCGTCTTTCGCCGTCATCCACCTGGCAGTAGGGATCTTACAGAACCATGATCAACTCGATTCCTCTAAGGGAACTATGACTTAATCAGCCATACATTACGGAGTCTTGACCATGGCAAGCAGTTTACCATCAAAGTCACCCCCGCCCCAAGTGGTAGGTTCCAGGGAAACCAGCCAACCGTTTCTGACTTTGATAACCCCCAGAAACAGAATCAACATCATGACCCCAGCCATATCTGAATTTCATTTGTCCTCGTCCTGTTTTGGGCGACCCCCCTTTGGTTGTTCTTTCTTTTTTCTTCAAACATATTTTACAAAATGGACCAACTCAAAGACACCCACACACACACACACCAATGTTTCAAGGACCCGAAAGGTTTGGTCGAGCATCGAGAGGCCGCGACATGCGTGGCGATCCCTCCTCCGCCGGGGACCGAGCCTGCCCGGTGGTTGGTTGCCTGGAAAGGGGTCGACCTGGATCGGTGCTTTTGTCCAGACACCTTACCCCCCAAAAACCGTCGCAGCTGGCGTGTTTTTTTTCGGCGATCGGGGTAGAAGTGTCTGGAAAAAGCTATTTTCACAGCCCGGGTCGACGGTAGAAGTGTCTGAAATGGTCGAAGTTCCTGGGAAAAGCGATTCGTAGCTGGCGATCCGGGTAGAGTAGAGCGTAAGGGTCAAATAGGCGAATCCCCCCAATCTTCCGAGAAAACAAAGAGAAGAACACAAAAAGCAATGCGCTGAGTAAGGCATTCCCAACATGTACCAAAACTCAGGGTGCGGTCAAACATGGGAGACGCAGCACTTTTCGGAACAGAAAATGGGGGGACCATCCATCAATGGAAAAAGGAGGTCGCAGCCGAGGCGGTGCTTCCATGTAGATATGGCTGGGGTGCCATTTGGCGAGTTGGAACCTGAAAAGTGGTTGGAGACACATGCATGCCCGTGGAAATTGGATGTCCGACTTTAGTTGTCCCCAAGAAAACAACTCATACCCAGCTCAAGGCTCCAGAAAGCCCGCCTTGTTGAGCGCCATCTTTTTTCTGCAGGTGTTCCGCCCATAGCGGCGCCAGGAACTGCTTGCTGGTGGTGCGAAACAAAACACGTGTTGATTTTTGTGGTTCACCGCCGCTTTTCTGTTTCAGAGACCACTTTGCGGCCAGCCGGCTCCACGAAAAGCTGGCGGTTTCGCAAGCGGGTGCCTTTGTGATGTTGATCGGGGCACGAGAGAGGACATCGAGGGTTTTCAGAGGTCGGGGGATCTCTCACCAAAAGGTCCGTGTGGTGCCCCTTTTGGGAGGGTTTTCAAGGGAGAACCAAAAGAAAACCATGGCCCCGGAAAAATGGCCCTTTTTTCCTCAAAAAAATGCGACATTTTTGTCCAGGGGTCCGATTTTCTCTCCCCAAAAAGCAAAAAGGGCCTCAGAGCCATGCCCTTTTATTCGCCACTTCCCCTAGACCTGACAGCCCAGCCACGCCGCATGTTCGCCACTTCCCCCAAACCTCCTCGCCTCGAGGCGCTGTTGGAAGTCTTAGATCCGGAGCAGAACAGCAGCTTCCGGGACCACTACCTGGATGTCTGGGGCGCCCAAAGCTTTCCTCGCATGCCTCGCGGGAAATTTTGAGGAGCTTCGCCTTCCCAGAACCATATGTTTTGGCGGTTCCGTGGTCCGGGTCAACTGAGGGACGTTTTTTAATGGTTTGTTCCCAGCTGTCTGGTCCCTTTTTGGCTTTTAGAGGTTGTTATTGGTGAAAGGCGGTTGGCTTTCCATGTTGGACCTACAAGTTGGTCACCTTCAAGCAGGGGATCAGAAAACGGACAGCCCAAATTTGAGAGGCCCAAAAGTGCAGATCTCCACACGATTCAAAGGGGGGGCTGCGGCCTCGATTTTCTCTTGGCTGTCACTCGGGCTTCTTGGTCCATTCAGGTTGAACCCAGAAGGGGCCGCTACCTCTGTTCATGTTTGGGACCCGTCTGAATGAGCTTTCCACTGGAATGGTTCTTTTTGCAGGGAGGATAGTCTCTCCTCGTGTTTGAAGGGGTGTAAAGTAAGAACTCAGCGAAACAGCCAGTGTAGAGCAGTAAAGAGTTCCTGCATGCTCAACGCACATCCGCAAAGGCAAAGCAGCCCCATGTTCGATACTTATTCCCTTCCTGAAACCCGGGCGGCTCAGGAGCATGCGGTACCTCACGTAAGTGGTTAGGAAGCCTGGTGAGAGAACTTACTGAACGGAGACTTATAACCATGAATCGCTTTTGTGGGTTATCTCACCAAGCTTACCAAAACCACTTACCTGACGTACCATGCCCCAAGTAGGTGTCTTTTTTGGTTTGTTTGAACACCGATGGAGCCCCCTGCCGATTTGTCCAACAGGATCAAAGGCCGCAGGCGGCCGGCGGAGAGAAGACCGGGAGAAGTCTTTCGGTTTAGCCACTCGAAGTCTTCAGCTTGCTGGTGCGAGCAGGGAATGGGTGAACCCCGAGATAAGCCATCCTGGTGGTTTCCTTTCAAAAGACCCCCCTATGCATTCCCTGATTCCCTTCTGAGCACCAGCGAAGTGAAGATGAAGTGAAGTTACGACATGGTGTGTTTTTTTTTTCTTGAGGGTAGCCCTTGGTTAAAAGGGACATCAACGGAGAAGTTATACACCTCACTTCCTGAGTTCATGGACTTTAGACTTTTTGGGCAGACCATTTTAGTCGTAAACAAACAGTTGGTCACTTTTTCCAGCTCCACTCGATGTGAGGTGTGAGACACCTTTTATTTCGGGTTCCCTGACTTTGAGACGGACCTTTTCAACCGATGGCCTCCGTATGCGTGGACTCCATATGGATTTTCCCAACAGATGCAGCTCATTGGATCCGGCGCTTCGATCCAAAACAAATCCAAGGCGTCTGGCGCCGGTATTAGTGAATCTATGTATATATTATTAAGTAACATATATATATATAGATAATATCATCTTATATGCATATTATATTATATATATTATTATTATATTTTACTATTATATTAGTATTTTTATTATTCTTATTATATCATTATTATTACTACTATTACTATTACTATTACTATTACTAGTACTATTACTATTACTAGTACTAGTACTATTACTATTACTAATTACTATTACTATTACTAGTACTATTACTATTACTAATTACTATTACTATTACTAATACTATTACTATTGCTATTACGATTACTATTACTATTACTACTACTATTACGATTACGATTACGATTACTATTATTATTACTGTTACTGTTACTGTTACTGTTACTAAATATATATATATATTATTATTATTATTATTATTAGTAGTATTAGTATTTATTATTATTGCTATTATTATTGCTATTATTATTGTTATTATTATGAGTGTTATGATTTTATTGATATTATTATTATTACTATTATTGTTATTGTTATTTGTTATTATTATTATTATTATTAGTATTATTATAATTATTATTATTATTGTTATTATTATTATTATCATCATTACTATTATTATTATTATTATCATTATTATTATTATTACATATTATATACAATACACCATATTATATATATATATATATATATGTATCATGGCAATACATATATATATATGAATAAATTGAACCCAGGTACCCATAGACCTCTCCAACATCCTGTTCCTGTGCACCGCCAACGTGCTGGACACCATTCCTGGACCTCTGCTGGACCGCGAGAAAAACTTGGGATGCAGTTTCTGGGGGGAAGTCGTGGCGCTGGCAAGGAAGCCCGGGATGGTTGCGAAATCAATTTTCCTCCTTCTGAGTCACAATCAAAACTCGGGTAGATGAAGATCAGCAAGGGATAATCCCAACCATAAATGGCTGCGGCCGCCTTCTCAATTCTTTACATGGTTCTGGGTAGACCATTTTAATACCGGGTTTTAATTATGACTCATTTCGCACCACCTAAGAAACCATGGTTGAAGCCATTTTTCTGCAGAACTAGGGGGCCCAGTGTTCCACTGCGAAAGAGATTCGGAATAATTTCCTCTGAAAGAACCCCCCCCAAAGAAAAATCAAATAAATGAACAAATCAAAGAGAAAACGTATCGACCAGTAAAAATCTTGCTGGTGCTCATTAAAATGACCCAGTTGGGAATGACCCATAGGGGATGGATCATAGGGGTCATTCCATTTCTCGTTCCCTGCCTATCGAACCAGCCAGAAATTCCTCCGGGGTGACCATTGCTTGGAGCCTGTAACCCTTCATCGCAAGACTTCGCGCTCCGAGCCCTGAAATGGGGGATGAAGGAACGGCAATTTTTGGTGTTACAGGGGGTGGCTGGTTTTTTTTTGAGTGCAGAGTCTCCGGGCCATGTCCCTTTCAAGGGAACCTCTCACAGTGGCGTTGTATGGGTCCAATGGAAGCCAACAGCTTAAACTGATCAACTTTCGACTTGGCATCCTGCTTTCGTCTTCCCCAGAATTAGCTCCCCTTTTTGCTTTTTTGATTTTTTGGGGTTCCCTTTGTTTTCCACTAACCAGGCAAAATATTTTTTTTTGCTGGGGTCCTGATTCCAGCCAAGTTGTGTCCCCCGTCTTATTTCAGGCTTTGTTCTATTTCTTGGGGTGACCGGGTGAAAAATAGCTTCCAACAACGCTCTCTGGTGTGGTGGATGCCATTGGGTTGAGATTGCAATTCGAAAAACAAGTCTTCTCGTTGGCTCAAACACGTTTAACTTCCATGTGTTTGAGAATATGTTGTGTCTTCCCGTGTTGGTTTTAAAAGGAATCGATCACTACTGGAAACATATTTTCTGATATATATATATATATATATTTTTTTCCCCGAAAGCATGGCGAAGGGTTCTTCCGCTGGGTTCACTTGAGTTGTTCTCATGAGAGTCATTACAAGGTGTCATTGCAAGGAATCATCATCATGAAAGTCAATGCAAGGAGTCATTGCAAGGAGTCATTGCAAGGAGTCATTGCAAGGAGTCATTGCAAGGAGCAAGGAGTCATTGCAAGGAGTCATTGCAAGGAGTCATTGCAAGGAGTCATTGCAAGGAGTCATTGCAAGGAGTCATTGCAAGGAGTCATTGCAAGGAGTCATTGCAAGGAGTCATTGCAAGGAGTCATTGCAAGGAGTCATTGCAAGGAGTCATTGCAAGGAGTCATTGCAAGGAGTCATTGCAAGGAGTCATTGCAAGGAGTCAAGGAGTCATTGCAAGGAGTCATTGCAAGGAGTCATTGCAAGGAGTCATTGCAAGGAGTCATTGCAAGGAGTCATTGCAAGGAGTCATTGCAAGGAGTCATTGCAAGGAGTCATTGCAAGGAGTCATTGCAAGGAGTCATTGCAAGGAGTCCTTGCAATTGGAGTCATTGCAAGGAGTCATTGCAGGAGTCATTGCAAGGAGTCATTGGAGTCAAAGGAGTCATTGCAAGGAGTCATTGCAAGAGTCATTGCAAGGAGTCATTGCAAGGAGTCATTGCAAGGAGTCATTGCAAGGAGCCGTTGCAAGGAGTCAAGTGCAAGTTGCAAGTGCAAGGAGCCAAGTGCAAGTTGCAAGTGCAAGGAGTCAAGTGCAAGTTGCAAGTGCATGGAGTCAAGTGCAAGTTGCAAGTGCAAGGAGTCAAGTGCAAGTTGCAAGTGCAAGGAGCCAAGTGCAATTGACTTGCGAGGAGTTAAAATCTCTTCTTAGGGCGGCGGGGTAGTGCCGACGACACTACACGAAAATCGACCCTCTCGCGGGGATGCGGCGTGGTCGAGGCAAAAACCCATGGTTTTTTCGAGGTTGGTTTTTTGCGATTTCTGCGGTGCTCGCGCGACCCTCTGCGGGGATCGGCGTGGTCGAGGTGCAAAAAGCCCATGGTTTTTTGCGATTTCTAAAGTTCCCGCGCGACCCTCTGCGGGGATCGGCGTGGTCGAGGTGCAAAAGCCCATGGTTTTTTGCGATTTCTAAAGTTCCCGCACGACCCTCTGCGGGGATCGGCGTGGTCGAGGTGCAAAAACTCGAGGTTTTTTGCGATTTCTGCGGTGCCCGCGCGACCCTCTGCGGGGATCGGCGTGGTCGAGGTGCAAAAACCCATGGTTTTTTGCGATTTCTGCGGTGCCCGCGCGCTCGCGCAACCCTCTGCGGGAATCGGCGTGGTCGAGGTGCAAAAACTCAAGGTCTTTTGCGTCTTTTGTTGTTCGAACTGGTCCTCGGGAGTTGTCTCGTGGTTCGCGCGCCTGCTTCCGGAACCGGCGGGTCGTGGGTTCGATTCTTCCCTGGTCCGCGGGCGGGCGTCGCAAGATGCAACTTGGATTTTATAGCAACTTGCGCAGAGCAACTTGCGCAGAGCAAGTTGCACAGAGCAACTTGCGCAGACCAACTTGCACCGACCAGTGTGCGCAAAGCGCCTTGCCTAGAGCAACTTGCGCAGAGCAACTTACGCAGAGCAACTTGCACAGAGCAACTTGCACAGAGCAGCTTGCACAGAGCAACTTGCAGGGAGCGCAATTTGCACAGAGCAACTTGCAGGGAGCCACTTGCAGGGACCAACTTGCCGGAGCAACTTGCGCGGAGCAACTTGCGCAGAGCAACTTGCACAGTGCAACTTGCGTAGAGCAACTTGCGCAGACCAACTTGCACCGACCAGTTTGCGCAGAGCACCTTGCCTGGTGCTGTCCCGCGCTTGCTTCACAAATGCTTCGTGGAGGGAAAAAGAACGCATCCTGCAGCGTTGGGCCGACCTCGCTTGCGATGTTATGCTTTCGGGCCAACCGTGGTCTAGTTTTGTTTTTCTCCAGGGGGCTTAGGTAAATGGAAGTTAAAGTTGCCGGGAACTCGGAGAACTCGTTTCGAGAAGCTCGCCATGTGAATCCAGGGATGTGTTCCGTGGTACACCAACCAGCAGACAAAAACTTCACCGTGCCCAAGGAATTTCGTGGAGTTTCACGTACCTGGCAAGTGGGGTGACAAGGTGGGCTTCGCTGTGAGCCTGACGCAGTTGTCTTTGGACCATTTGGCAGGTGTTTTGAAGGGACACCCGCCATATTTACAGTACGAACAGACTGTGTGAATTTCTTGCGGAGAGCTGCGTTTGTTTGTTTTCTTTCGCTTGTTCGTTGTGCTTGTGTCTCGGTCAGTCCATCCATCCGTTCCATCTGTGCGACTTCCAGTTGATTTCCTTCCCTGTTCTGACCCCTCCAGTCTTTAGCAAATGCCCACTCGAAATTGCCCCAACACAAAAAACAACAGACTGAAGGGCAGCATTTTTATTGGTCAGGCGGTCGCTCCGTGCGGTCCAAATCCTGTCGCTTAGTGCGGCGCAAATCCTGTCGCTTAGTGCGGCAGTCACTTTCACCTTCAAGGGCCCGTTGAGCCCGTGTGGCCCGTTGAGCCCGTCGGGCCTGTAGGGCCAGTTGGGGCTGTTGGGCTTGTTGGGCCCGTTGGGGCTGTTGGGACCGCTGTTGGAACTGCTGGGCCTGTTGGGACCGTTGAGCCCGCTGTGCCCGTTGGGCCCGTTGGGCCTGCGTTGGGCTTGAGCCTGTTGGGCCTGTTGGGCCTGTTGAGCTTGTTAGGCCCGCTGAGCCCGTTCGGACTGCTGAGGTATCTGCTCTGGCTCTTCGTCTTGGCTCGCTTTACTTTTTCTTTACAGACACGTGCCTAAAAGTGTGGTTTTACCTGCATCGCGTAAGTTCGCAGAAGGTTCGCGGAAGGGCGAGGCGGAAGACCGTTTTTGGAACAAGGAAGATGGGGTAAACTCTCATGTACATATGTATGTTATGTTATTGTATTTTATGCTATGTTGAGTTATGTCATGTTATGTTATGTGTGTAGTGTTATGTATGTTTGTATTGAAATTGAATTTAATGTAATGTAATGTAATGTGATGTATGCGTGTGTGTATGTTATGTAAGTTATGTATGTTATGTATGCTATGTACGCAAGTGTGTATGTTATGCATGTATGTATGTGTGTGTATGTATGTATGTGTGTGTATGTATGTACGTAAGTATGTATGTATGTCATGTCATGTTATGTTATGTTATGTTATGTTATGTATGTATGTAATGTATGTATGTATGTATGTATGTATGTATGTATGTATGTATGTATGTATGTATGTATGTATGTATGTATGTATGTATGTATGTATGTATGTATGTTAGTTATGCTATGTATGTATGTATGTATGTATGTAGGTATATGTGCATGTATGTATGTATGTATGCACGTATATGTGCATGTATGTATGTATGTTATGCCTGTATGTGTGTGTGTGTTAATTTAATGTAATGTGTGTAATATATTATGTGTACATATAATGCAATGCAGTTCATGCGTGTAATGTAATTTAATGTATGTATGTATGTATGTGTATGTATATATGTATGTATGTATGTATGTATGTATGTATGTATGTATGTATGTATGTATGTATGTGTGTAGTGTGTAGTGCTATGTATGTATTGCAATGTGATGTAAGTTAATGTACTGTAGTGTAATGTAATGTAATGTGATGTATGCGTGTATGTATGTTATGTATGCTTTGTATTGCAATGTCATGTAATGTGAAGTAATGTGATGTGATGTATGAGTGTATTCATGTTATGTATGTTATGTATGCTATGCACGTAAGTATGTTTGTTATGTATGTATGTATGTATGTATGTATGTATGTTATGCTATGTATGTATGTATGTATGTACGTATATGTGCATGTATGTATGTATGTATGTATGTACGTATATGTGCATGTATGTATGTATGTTATGCCTGTATGTGTGTGTTAATGTAATGTAATGTGTGTAGTATATTATGTGTACATATAATGCAATGCAGTTCATGCGTGTAATGTAATTTAATGTATGTATGTATGTATGTATGTATGTGTATGTATGTATGTATGTATGTATGTATGTATGTATGTATGCATGTGTGTAGTGTGTAGTGCTATGTATGTATTGCAATGTGATGTAAGTTAATGTAGTGTAGTGTAATGTAATGTAATGTGATGTATGCGTGTATGTATGTTATGTATGCTTTGTAATGCAATGTAATGTAATGTGAAGTAATGTGATGTGATGTATGAGTGTATTCATGTTATGTATGTTATGTATGCTATGCACGTAAGTATGTTTGTTATGTATGTATGTATGTATGTATGTATGTATGTATGTATGTATGTATGTATGTATGTATGTATTTAATGTATGTATGGCTGTATGTATGTGTGTGTATGTATGTATGTGTGTATGTTTTGGTATGTATGTATGTATGTATGTATGTATGTATGTATGCATGTATGTATGTATGTATGTATGTACGTATATGTGTATGTATGTATGTTTGTATGTTTGTATGTTTGTATGCATGCATGCATGTATGTGTGTGTTAATGTAATGTAATGTGTGGAATAAATGTATTGCAACGCAGTTCATGCGTGTAATGTAATTTAATGTATGTTTGTGTTGGGCCCGTCGGGGTCGTTGGGACCGCTGGGCCCGTTGGGCCCGTTGAGCCCGTTGGGCCCGTTGATTCCGTTGAGCCCGTTAAGCCCGTTAAGCCCGTTGGGCCTGTGGGCCCGTTGGGAGCTTGGGCCTGTTGAGTTCGTTGGGCCCCGTTGAGCGGGTTGGGCTTGTTGAGCCCATTGAGCGCGTTGGGCCCGTTGATTTTATTGAACTGACAGGTTTAACACCTGGGTTCTGACTGCACTAAGTGACGGGTTTTTTGCTGCACTAAGTGACCTGTTTAACACTTGGGTTCTGACTGCACTAAGTGACGATTTTTTGCTGCACTAAGTGACCTGCTGACCATTTTTATTTGTTAAGCCAAAAGGGCCCCCGGCAAAAAAAACAACAACACCAGCAACAAAAGGCCCAAAGGTGTGGAAGCCAGGACAGTCTACCACAAATCGGCAGGACCGCATGGAGGTGATCCGCATCGCCGGCTACGTCTTCGAGGAGAAGCTGGCCATCGCCAGCAAGTGCCCCCGAGTCCGAAGGCGGCAATTTAAGGACCGCAAGCAGTCAGGCATTTTGGGAAACAGCCACCGGTGGAAGAGCCAAAATAGATTGACACGGAAAAGGATGGCAAACAATGTGGCCTCAAAACAATGCTACATAGATTATATAGATGTAGGGTGGACTACATATGAGATCGAATCTGAATACATGATGTTTTCGGTGCATTCTCTTAGAGACCGGAATGCGAACACTGGTGTTTTTTTTCAGGTCACTTTGATTGAACTTTATCACGTCACCTGGCGCGTCTTGCTACCTCCAATGATTCCCTACATGGAAAAGGCCCCTGGCACAGATGGAGATCTGCTCGGTTTAACAGGGCTCCGTAAAAAAGATCTCCATTTTGCAATCATGTGAAACATGTTGCTTTTTCAACACCAAGATCAAAGGAAACCACCATAAAACAAGGCAATGCTCAGGTGTACAATGTAAGGATCACTGTGTAAGTTGCCTTGAGCCTGCCGACGCAGGATATGTTTCATGCTGGTGTAAAGAAAGCGAACACCACATCGATTTGGTTGCAGCGCTCTTGCATGTTGCGTCTGTGGCGCGCGGGACCTTGAACATTTACAGGAGGTGTAATCGGATCGGCGAGGTTGATACTACAGGGAGAAACGCTGAAATGCCAAAGTCCTCATTACATGGCGACAAACGCTCTTACATGCTGATTTGGTGTGCGAAGGAACGACTAAGCTGACTTATCGATTCAGGAACATCCTGTCAACCAGAAATGGCGCACTTAAATTCACAGAGATGGAAGAAGCAAGTTGGACTCTAGAATCTCTAGACGTGCTTTGAGAAGGTGGATTGTTTTGTCCCCATTTTCGCATAATCTGCTTGAATCATTCGCTTTCGGATCCTCACACCGCATTGTGCCTTTTCGCCGCTGTCGAACATCCTGGGAGTTTAGAATTTCTGGAGAATGTGCATGGGCTTCAATAATCGAACCATATCGGTTCAATGTGATTCGTCTAAGACGAACGTGCAAGTATGCAAACTTGACCATACCGACCCCCCGGAGTTCAACTTAGGTTTTTGCGGAGAGTTTCCTGCTGAGTGAGGGTGGATGAAACAAATCCGAACTAGAGGCAGCCCGTGCACGGGGTGAAAGGGTAGAGAGGCAGAGAGGGTTTGAAGAATCCTTGTTTCGCAGGTACCTGATCCCGCAGACAGAGGCGGGACGTGCCACCGCACTTTGGGAGCGATGATGCCTTGCTGGTTGTTGCACAGCCAGAGGGCAGGCAGGCAGGCGCATACATTCTCGAAATATGAAAGTACTCTGTGTGCGCGCGTACTGCGACTTATGATGTCTACTCTCCTGGTGCCCAATGTTGCTTGTGCTGACTCATTGATGACTCAAAGTCCTAGATAATCGGTCGGGCTTCTGTTGACAGGCGCCCTGTATTTTCTGGGCCGCTAGGAAGAAGAAATTTGCAGTCAGGAAAGAGCTTTCCAGAAGAGGCGCGTTTGTGAGGTGATGGTCACTCAAAAGTACAGGTGGCATTGGTGTCTCCTTAGCTATAGATCCATTTGGGCGAGTCATCAGACTGCAGCAACCGCCTGAAGTACCCTCCCTGCCACTAACATGACAGCTGACAGAGGGTCCCTCGAGGAAATTCATCTTCCAGGTACCCTCCCCCAGGTGCTGTCTGTTAGTGGGAGGAGGGGTAAGACCTTCGTCACTAGCAAAGTCGTTTTTTTTTTCCGAGGTCCCCGTACGACCACCAGCGTCTGGCTAGTTTTGTTTGTGTGTGTTTGTTTGTTGTTCTTTTTCTCTGCTCTCGAGAATTATATGGCCTTGTCTCAACATTCCGGCCTCGGAGCCTTTTTTTTGGTGGTTTCCTTTTAGTTTCCCATCAAAAACAAATCCCAAAGAAGGATAAAGAGCCTCAAAGAAGAAGAGGCACTCATATGTGTTTGTCTGTTGTTCTTATATATCTACATATATATATATATATATATATGTGGGTCCGAGGCACCAAAAGGGTACCCTCAAAAAAAGACGAGGCGCCCACGTGTTCTTCTTGTTCTTCCTTCTTCTTTGTTTTGTTCTTGTGTGCGCGTGTTCTTTTTTTTGGCTGGTCAAAACAGGTGGATTTTTTTCGACCCCCACGGCCTTTCACGGGTCCCAAGTGGACCCGCGCCTGCGGTTCGACGACCGGGCGACGGCCTCAGGAGGGCAGCGGCATCGGGGCGGATCGCTTGGACCTGGGCGCACGGAGCCCGAGGAGTTGGGAGGAGTGAGGTGGATTTGGGTGGGGGGGGTGGGGGGGGAGGGTTGGGGGGGAGGAGGGTTTGGGGGGTGGGGTGGATTGGCTGAAATGAATATTTTTGTTTCCCCCTCTTGGTTTTAGAAGGAATCTATCACTTTTTTGTTCTCCCCCTCTTGGTTTTAGAGGGAATCGATTTCACTACTGGATTTGTTTCTCGTTTTTCTTCCAGGGGGCGAAAAAGCACATGGAAGTTTGGGTTTGCCTTCAAGCCAAAAGATGGGGTGCCCCCCAAAAGAAATAAGGGGGGTTTGGGGGTTTGGGGGTTTTCCTTGAAACAAATGAGGGGTATCCCCTGAAAAGGACAAGCCCAAATAGAGCGGGCGAAGAGTACTTGGAAGTTTGGTAAGGGAAACCTGATGCAATCTTTGGTTTAAGTTGGAAGAGTCCTTAATTCCAGCTGAAAGGGTTCATTGGGATTGTCTTTACTTGGATGTTCGATCCGCCAAGTTTGCAAGTGGTGATCGCCACTTGGGCGTTTTCAACCCCCTTTGAACAAGGTCACCCACACTGAACCGGGGACTCATAAGTGGGTTACAACTTAGGTTAGTTTGTTGTCTGACTTCCATTTCCCTTGTTTGTGGGTCCAACAACAGGTTTGTAATTGGAAAAACAGGGTCCTAATTGTTTTGTGTGTGTGTGTGTTTTCTCTTTTCTCTTTTTCTTTTTTTCTTCAAGGGATAATCATATGGGTTTGTCTCAAAACATGTGGGTGGTCCTTTTCGTTTCTCTTTGAACCACCCGCAAAAAGGTGCTCCAAAAAAGCCGAGCCACCCACATATGTTTTTTGTTTGTTTGTTTGTTTGTTTGTTTGGTGTGTGTGTGTGTGGTCCCTTCTCTCTCTCTCTCTCGATTGTTGTTGGCACCACCATGCTGTGCGGGTGTGCAGGAAGCGAAGGGTAGGATCAGCATCCATCATCATGGTTACAGGGCCGCAAGCACTGCTTAGGATGAAAGCCAAGTAAGGTGTTCGGCCGCGCTGACCAAGGGCCGAATGGGAGCCATAGCAGAACGGCAGTGACTAACAACTCAACAGCTGACCTGCCCTTTACTCCCCAGGAAAGGGCAAGAACGCGATTCACAGGTTTTTTTGGAAGCTGCCTGACGTGCGCTGCATCATGTTTGCCATGTTTGTCAAAATCATGGTCTGCTGACAAGCGGGTGGGGGCATGGGGCCTCTGTCCAATGTCGGGAAGGTGTCATTTTTCTGAAATCCACCCTTGGGCGGATTGCGAAAGCCTGTCAATGCTCTAGGTGAAGCATCCCGCATCCCCATTCTTTCCAGGGATCCTTCTTTGCGGGAAACGGCTGTTGTTTGAAAAAGCACGATGGTGAAAAGAATGGGGAATCAACCCCTAGACATGCGGTCCCGGGAGTGGCGTACACAGTGCTGTTGGAAGCAGCAAGTTGTCCCACGCATCGCCCCCGGATCAGGGCCAGTTGTGTGCTGATTTGGGAAGCCTCAGGAGAAATCCGCTTGAAGCCACTTAGGCAGACCAGGTCCGCCTGAAAAACGTGGCGAGCCCCCAAAAGCTGCCGCGGCTTCCTCTTGGTCTCCTCCCAAAAGCTGCCGCGCGCCTTTCGCCTCGGAAGGGTCGCAGCCGGTCGCAGCCGAGGACGAGGTGCTGCAGAAAATCATCAAGGACTACGCGCGGGAGGCGCGAAGCGCGAAGCCCGTGGAGAAGCAGCTGATGCTGTCAATGCTTTGGGTGCTCGCCCAAAGCTTTTTGTTAGTTTAGCCCAAGGGAAGCCAAGAAGGGGATGGTCAACTTGGTGGCTCCCAGCCATCCGGTTCCTTGGCTTTTTAGCCTTTCAGTGTTTAGTGGTAGTTTCCATGCAACCCACTACAAGTTAGTCACTTTCAGCGGGGGATCAGAAAACGGGCAGCCCAGTTTTCCAGCCTCTAGCTTGAACATCGGGAGCTGTGTCTTGGCTTTTTGCCTTGCAATAGATTCAGCTACATCCAGGCCAGTGTTTGGTCCAAGGTGCAGAAGATGCGGGGGTCGCACTTCCTTTCCCGCCGGGGAAAAAATGGAGCTGAAAAGCGGAAGTGGCTGCACGCAACGGAGTTGTGTGTGTGAGTGGATGACTGTGAAGCAACGGTGAACACAAGAGACACCCCCATCCCCCTGTCAAACCAGAGGATGCCGGGCAGACCGGGTCACTTGGCCCCACCCCATGGAACCTCGAAGGGATGCCATTCGAGTGATCCGGTCGTTCCTTCATGTAAACACTTTGCCCCACCGAGCAGTGGCCGCCCGATCTTTTTGGTCCGGAGACCCCCGGACTTCGGGTTCTTTGCGCTGGATCCAGCTTGTGTTCTAAGGCACCCAATGAAGAACGCCAACCCAGAGCTCCAGTGGTGCCGGTTTTTCCCTCGGCGCAGAAGTTCAAGGGAGCAAAGGCATCTGAGCAAACAAGGTTCTGGGTTGATTGCTGGCAAATATGTTTTACAAAAAGCCAGGGCCACTAACAAAAAATCTGAGAAACCAGTGAGTTACCGGAATTTGCTACAGGTGCTTGCTTCATGGGTGGGATTTTGTTGCTTATGAAACCTGTCCGGTTTCAACCCGAAAAACACGCCGCCCGACCGAAAAATCGCGAGGCCGGGGTCCGAAATCTTCGGCAGCTCCTGGAGAAGGTGAGCCGGAAGGCGTGCCGCGAGCATTCGGTCTGCTAGCAGCTCGTGGGTGTCCGGCCAAGTTAGCAAGTGGCTGGTATGCTACCCTAGGAGGTCAAGATCTCAGTATTTGAGGGTTTTTGGGGGTTCAAGGCCCGAACACTGAGTGCTCTTCCATTTGCGTTTGTTTTTCTTCTTTTTATATATATTTTTTTTTCCCTGTTGGTTTTAAAAGGAATTTATCACTGCTGGAAATATTTGTTATTTTTGCCAGGGGTCTTAACCAAATGGAAGGGCTGGTATGCTAGGTCAGAACCTGTTCACAACCAGCCCAATTGCACTTTGGGGACTACGTAGGTTACAACCTAGGTTACTTGTGAACTTGGCGAATCGAACATCCAAGAATCCAAGTTGGAAGTAAGTTAGTCACTTTGGGGACTTCTGAGTAGGTTATAACCTAGGTTACTATCCACTTGTTGACTTATCGAGTCTGGAAGCGGCCGTCCGTCACCAGGGTGCTTCCAGCAAAACTCAAATGGGTCCAATGGGTCCCTCTTGGGCCGAAGGTGGGTCAACAACTTCGAGGTGGTTGGCAACCCTGAGCTGAGGGTTGGTTGCAAGGGACACCAAAGGGAACATCACCTCAATATATATATATATATACACATATGTTGTTGCTTTTTTTCTCTTTTTTTTTGCGGGGGGGGAGTTCCCCAAAGAAAAGACACACCTAAAGTGATTTGGTTGTTGTTTCTCATTTCTTTTCTTTTTTTTTTGGGGGGGGGTCCGCTAAAGAAAAGATATATCAGATGGATGCTTTCCAAGGGCACTCGCTTTTTCCGGTCGGACATTGGGTGATCCTGTTTTCCCCCCCGCAGTCCAGAGGGCGCACGGGCATCTTGCGAAACATGAGACTGGGAATGCAACACGGTCCGGAGACAAGAACTTCGCCCTCCATTTTGGCGGCTGCGAACTCCTCTTAGGCACCGTTCAGAAAAATTCTGGGATATGATTCCAACCTGCAAGTTTCCCAACCGACGTGTTCTAGTTTCCTTCCCATGGCGCGGCGCGAAATGGATGAGTCCAACCTGTAAGCTTCCCGACCGACGTTCTGGTTTCCTTCCCATGGTTTCATTTCACTGTCTGGATTTCGCGTCAGATCCTCTTCCAGGGGCACCCTTTCCCGGGTGCTCGCTCGTCCGCAAGACTCCAATTTCCAGGTCGCCTTGGACCTGGTGCGCAAGAAATGCGCGGAGGAGGTGAGCCGCCAAGAGGGGTTCGTTTGTTTCTTTTTGGGGGGGGGGTTGCAGCCTTCAAGCGAACCAGGGTAATTACCAGCCTCAAAACCCAAAGTCAGGACCCAGATACCGTTTTTGGGTCCCCTTTTGTTTGGCCCATTTGTTCAAGGGAATCTGGCGCTTTTAAGGGTAAATCTTGTTTGGTGGTGTTAAAAGGAAACCACCACCGACAAAACCGAGCCATCTTGGCTTCAAGGGAAGCCAGAAGAAAAACCAACCATCTTGGGTCCCCTTATTATGCATAGAACTTATTTCAGGTCTTGACTTTGTTGGGGCTTCTAGTCGCGAGCTCTTGTTGCAGATGATGCAGGAAATGTACCCTCCCCCTGTATTTTCTGGGCGATGCTGGTGATGCTGGAGATGTTGGCTGGACTGGAAGCCTGTAGAAACTTGTTGCCCCGCAGGGGCCGGAACCTCAATCCTGATTTGCTGCGTGAGCACTTCACAAACTCACGTGGCTTGAGAGCCGCTAGGGTTCCCATTTGCCAGGGTTCCACTGAAAAACTGTAGGCTGCAACGGAGTCGAGCCCCCAAGTGTTCGGCTTGTTTGGCGTGCTCCTGTTGTGACAGAGGTGCTGTGCCCAACTCATGTTTTTCCTCCTCCTGCAAAAGGCGGCCAAAGGCAATGGCAAGCGATTGTCGCGTTTGGGGGAAGCCAGCTGCAACCGAAGAATTCCCCCCACCAATCAGAATGCCACAGGGATCCGTTCATGGCCCTCTCAAGAGTCGTGAGCCAACCCCTGGGATTCCAAGAAACTGTAAGCCTCCATTGAGTTGTGAAAAATATCTCTGCCAAGAGCTGTGCGGTCGTGGGCCAAAAGTCGCCCGACCCATTCGTGGGATTCCCAGCAACAAGAAGTCCCCCAGCAGGCCCGCCCAAATCCCGCGATTCCAAGCAAAAAAGGTCCCAGCAGAGTGGGGGGCATGCGCAGGGCCCGGCGAAGATCAACTTGGAGAATCTCACCACGTACATCGGGCAGCC